AGCGGTATACAAGTGTATCAAATAAATAAATAAATAAATAGAAAGAGATGAAAGACCACCTCTCCATCCCAACTCTCACTATCCTGGTGTTGGAGGGAGAGAAGAAAAGACAGATAAAGCTCTATCATTTCTAGGCCAAGAAGCAGATCAAAGACCATGTCTCCATCCCAACCGCCACTGCCCTGGTGTTGGAGGGAGAGAAGAAAAGACAGGCACAGCTGTATTAGGTCAATAAGCAGATGAAAGACCACCTCTCCATCCCAACTGCCACTGCCCCGGCTCCTGGTGTTGGAGGGAGAGAAGAAAAGACAGGCACAGCTGTATTATGCCAAGTCCATGAAGCAGATCAAAGACAATCTCTCCATCCCAATTGCCACTGCCCAGGGGTTGGAGGGAGAGAAGAAAAGTCAGGCACAGCTGCATTATGCCTAGGCCAAGAAACAGATGAAAGACCATCTCTCCATCCCAACTGTCACTGCCCAGGTGTTGGAGGGAGAGAAGAAAAGGCAGGCACAGTTGTATTATGCCAAGACCATGAAAAAGATGAAAGACTATTTCTCCATCCCAACTGCCACTGCCCTGGTGTGGGAGGGAGAGAAGAAAAGTCAAATACAGATGTATTATGCCTAGGCCAAGAAAGAGAGGAAAGACCACCTCTCCATCCCAACTGTCACTGCCCTGGTATTGGAGGGAGAGAAGAAAAGGCAGATACTGCTCTATCATTCCTAGGCCAAAAAACAGATGAAAGACCACCTCTCCATCCCAACTGTCACTGCCCTGGTGTTGGAGGGAGAGAAGAAGAGGCAAGTACAGTTCCATCATGCCAAGTCCAGAAGCAGATGAAAGTCTTGCCTCCATCCCAGCTGCCAGTGCCCTGGCCATGGAAGTAGAGAAGAAGAGGCAGACACAGCTCAACCATGCCCAGACACAGAAGAAGATGAAGGTCCGGGAAGCCATTCTTTCCCCACCTCAGCCTTCCTGCTATGGATAAAGTAATGCTTCCCATTTTCCACATTCATTCAACTAAAAATAATTATAAAACGCCTAGCATTTAAATTGATTTTAATGAAATCCAAACAAGACACACATAAAATCTTCAAAATTCACACCTGAGTTATACAAACTGCTCTCCCAAGGGGAGAATCGTGGAGCTTACAAGAAACGGGGGGGGGGGGGGGGGGGGGGGGCACAGGGTGCTGGGATGCTAGCGAGGCACCGCACATGCCCAGCCCTGCCAAGGGAAGAGAAGCTATGTACAGTGCAGCAAATCTCCCCCCAAAACAAATAACAGACATCACAACCACAGAGAGACGTGTGGCCTTTTGTTTCGTTGCTGGAAACCCAGTGCATAGAATAACAGACGGAGGAGGGTTACGTAACCCCAGAATCCTATATTACATTTATTTAAGGCAACTTCATGTATAATTAGCTAAGCAGCAGAGGCACTAAGAAACCCTGTTAGTAATGGCAAAGATGCATATTGGGATCATGGAAAGAATGCTATGGGTGCATGGATGCCCAATGTGCATCTATTCCATTGTGCATTGATCTTGTTGTTTATTAGTCTTGTTGAATAATGGTCACTTTGCTGGCTCTGCTACATAGTAACTACATATTAATATAATGGTAACATAATAGTATCCCTCTACCGGATACATGCATTATGGATCTGCCCAATTCCAATCCCCATATATGTCAGTCAACTTATGGAGATATCACTTCCATATAAGATTCCGGCCAATGTTTTGCAATTTGTTTACCAGTGTTGTCATAATGCTTTTCTTCTTCTTGCATCTACATGAAGATGCCATCATCAGGCTGACTCAAAGAGTGCAAATTTTATATTCTGACCATCCCTAAAATGAATACGGCAAGTAAAGTGGGAAATCTCCAAGGAATAAATATGTCTTGAAATTATTAAGGAAGGCTTCGAAGAACGAGATTCCTCTGCTTCCAGAAATGGGTTCATTTCAGGTTTGCTGCACAAACGCTTTCTTAGAGCCAAAGTAGACATAGCATGTCTGCAATGGATTTCCAACAGGTTTCCTAACATCAAAATGAAATTGTTAAGCAGCTGTGGGAAGTATTGAGAATGGATGGGAGGAAAAGGCTGCAAAACCTAGAACTCTTTTTCAAACATTATATCCATCCATCTTCTTTCCTATGCATGGTCTTAGTTTTGAATCATAGGAAGTGATTCACAAGAGGTTGGAAGAGTTCTTTTTCAGACTACAACTCCTAGAATGCGTTGTCGAAGGCTTTCATGGCCCGAATCACTGGGTTGTTGTGAGTTTTCCAGGCTCTTTGGCTATGTTCCAGAAGCATTCTCTCCTGACGTTTCACCCAGAACTATGGCAGGCATCCTCAGAGGTTGTGAGGTCTGTTGGAAAGTAGGCAAGTGTGGTTTATATATCTGGAATGTCCAGGGTGGGAGAAAGAACTCTTGTCTGTTTGAGGCAAGTGTGAAGGTTGCAATTGGTCACCTTGATTAGCAATGAATAGCCTTGCATCCTCAAGGTTTGACTGCTTCCTGCCTCAGGGAATCCATTTTTTTTGTCGTGTCAGAAGCAGTTTGAGAAACTGCAAGTCGCTTCTGGTGAGAGAGAATTGGCCATTTGCAAGGACGTTACCCAGGGGACGCCCAGATGTTTTGATGTTTTTACCATCCTTGTGGGAGGCTTCTCTCATGTCCCCGCATGAGGAGCTGAAGCGGATAGAGGGAGCTCATCCATGCTCTTCCCGGATTCAAACCTGCAACCTGCCGGCACAGGAGTTCAACCCACTGCGCCACGGCACCCACTGCATTGTTGGGAGGTGATTAGCTGGTCCTGCATTTTTCTTGTCTGGAATTCTCCTGTGTTTTGAGTGCTGTTCTTTGTTTACTATCCTAACTTTAGAGTTTTTTAAGTACTAGGAGTCAGGTTTTTTTCGTTTTCCCAGTTTCCTCCTTTCTGTTGAAATTTTCCACATGCTTGTGGATTTCAATGGCTTCTCTGTGTAGTCTGACATGGTGGTTATTAGAGGGATTCAGCAAACTAGGCAAGTGAGGTTTATATATCTGTGGAATGTCCAGGATGAGAGAAAGAACTCTTGTCTGCTTGAAACTTGTCTGTTGCCTAGTTTCCAACAGATCACTCAACCTCTGAGGATGCCTGCCATAGATGTGGGCAAAACGTCCGGAGAGAATGCTTCTGGAACCTGGCCAGACAGCTTGAAAAACTCACAGCAACCCAATTCCTAGAATTCCAAAGCCGGAATGAACTACCGTTTCCCCAGACTCCTTGTCATACCTGAAATGAAAACATGTCTTTTTTTCCTATGAAAAAGCTACATGTGTGCAGATTTTATGGTCTCTGCTCTCTACTTTCTCCCATCTGCCACAGAATTATTTATCTGGAGAAATAAATTATTACTACCTGACAGGAGGTCTGACCTACTATTGGTAGCTTGGTAAGTATGCAATGCCAAATGTGAATCTACGCAGAACACAATGAGCGCCTTGAGAATAGTTTGGTTGATTTTTCTTGTTCTCTAAAGCAGCTGCTTTTCTTTGGTCTTATTCAGAACTCTAAAATGGAGCTTGTACAAATGGAAATGTACAAGTGATCCTGGGGATTATCTACAAGGCACTTGGGCTTACTTTGGCTAGTTAGACAGGTAAAGTGTTTATTTGTTTTGTTTGTGTAGCCAAGAAACAAAACAAAAGAAGTCAAGAAATGAGGTTCAATTAAAAGATGCATTTTCTATTATTATTATTATTATTATTATTATTATTATTATTATTATTATTATTATTATTATTAGAAACACAACAAAATGAGTCAGCAGCAGACAAGATCACTCTGCTGGCTGTTGTATTGGATCACACGTCGGAGCCTTCCCAAGTGTCTAGGAGTGTGTGATGTATTGGCAAATAATGTGTGCATATCCTAGTAAGGTGGCCTTTTGCAGCTGGCAATCTTGCCAGCGCTGATTGTGTTTAAGTGCAGGCCAAGGTCTTTAGGCACTGCACCCAGTGTGCCGATCACCACTGGGACCACCTTGACTGGCTTGTGCCAGAGTCTTTGCAATTCGATCCTTAAATCCTCATATAATGTCAGCTTTTCCAATTGTTTCTCTTCAATCCTGCTGTCACCTGATATTGCAACATCAACAATCCATACTTTATTTTTTAACACAATCGTGAGGGCAGGAGTATTGTGCTCCAAAACTCTGTCTGAATTTGGAAGTCCCAGAGTTGTTGTTGTTATTGTTATTGTTATTATCATTTGCATTTGGACAAACCCTTGCAAATATTTTGCTGCACAAACATTGTTGTATTTGGGTACAAGAATCAATGGTGAGTATCCCATATCTGCTACCCTGGGTTCGGTACTGTTGAATCAACGCACTGTTGAATCAACGGCACTGTTGAATCAACACAATTTCATGCCACTTTAATTGCCATGATTCAATGCTATGTAGTAGTTGGGTGAGACACTCATATTCCTTGGCAGAGAAAGCTAAAGACCTTGTAAAACTACAGCTCCCATGCTGTGGTAGCTGAACATTTTATTCAATTTGCTATGCCTAGGTATTGAAGCATCCTTTCTCGTCAAGGAGAACATGTATAAATACTATTTCCATTCCTGCTGCACCATGGTATAGTATGTGTCCAACATGGCCAAAGTGGATTGACGTTTGGGTGTTCAGGAAGTCCTGAACACCCAAAACAAATGAAAAGGCCATAGGTTATATCAATTTTAAAAATCTCACTTCCCAAATATAAGAAAAAATAAATATCGGTGTGCTGTGAAGTTGGGTTGATGGCTTTCATGGGTTTGAGATCACGGAATAGACCCTGCATCATTTAGATGGAGATCAACTTCATGTTTGTCTTGATCTCCAGAAACTACGGGTATTGAGCAGTGGTGGTCAATGGTTTCCCTGATTCCGGTAAGGATCAGCCCTTGGACATCTTTTAAAATCTGCACTAAAACCCATAGTGGATTGACTGATATAGAGGCCACTAGCGGCTGCTGGGCATCACCTTGAGGTGCTTTGAGATGAATCTACACCACTCCAAAGAGCCAACAGTTTGAGTAGGTGATGTTGGATGGCATCTCTTCCAAAGCACTAAAGGGCAGAACACTGAGATACCCACCCAGGTTTTAAACCTTGAGTGAAACCAACGTGGCAACCTTGGCTCAGTTTTAGGGGATGCTCCAGAGTGGCCCTGTGCATTTTGATCTGCCAATAGATATGTCTCCACAGGAAAGCCATTAAAAACTAAAGAGGGAAAGAAGATAGTAATCCCAACGCATTAAATATGGTCAGGGTATCAGTTGCAACATTTTAGGAAATCTCTCTCCTAAAGGAGAAATGCCTGAGACTGTGGACAAGAACATATAAGGTCATCACATCCCTCAACAGGTTGGGATCCATCACAGTTCCAGTCTCTTTGACAATCCAGCTTGCACCAGTTGAGACCAGTTGCTTGTTGAAGGCACTTGTGCTGCCAGGTTGAACCTTCACCCGAGTCACTGTCTCCAGCAAAGTGGGTCCATAGGAAGAAGTTAAGGCTCACTTTGTACACAGAGGAGAGAAAGGTGGGTGCCATTGCTCTTTGGAAGATGGAGCTTCAATGGAGGTAGGTAGGCTGGTTCCATCGGTACCATGATCTGTTCACAAGAAGGAAAAAAGACACATCGTGTTTGTGTATTGGTTATCCTGGAGCAAGGACTCCTCAGAAAAAGAACTGGCCCTGATCCTAAGTCAATATTGTATAGCATAAATCTCCAGATTAGAGGTAATCTTTCCTTGTGTACCTTTGTGCTAAATGGGAGTTATGCACAAACAAATGTAAAACCAAATGTGTAGCCAAGGGTGCAATGGCACAATTCAAGCTCTGGTCCAATGTGCACCGTATATATTCACCTCAAGTTTACAGATGGATGTAGATGGTGCACATTGGACCAAATGTCCAATGGCTACTGTAACAAACTTTGCCAAGACATTTACATGGAATTTCATTAGTGACTACAATGGATGGTCAAAATGGGTTTGACATTGGGATCTATAAATGGATCTCATGCAGTCAACACACCTACAGTACAATAGATAGGAAACTGCAATCATAGAATCATAGTATAATAGAGTTGGGAGAGACCAAATGGAACATCTAGTCCAACCCCCTGCCATGTAGGAAAAACACAATCAAAATACCCCTGACAGATGTCCATCTAGCCTCTGTTTAAAAGATTCCAAGGAAGGAGCTTCCATTGGACTCTGAGGCAGAGCGTTCCACTGTTGAACAGCTCATACGATCAGGAAGAGCTTCCTAATGTTCAGATGTAACCTCCTTTTCTGTAATCTGAATCATTTTTTCCAAGTTCTAGTTTCAAGGGCAGCAGAAAACAAGCCTGCTCCCTCTTCCTTAGGACACCCTTTCACATATTTATACATAGCTATCATGTCTCCTCTCAACCTTCTCTTTTGCAGGCTAAACATACCCAGTGCCATAGGCTATCCTTCAGAGGAAGGAATTGGCAAAATCATATCTGAGTATCACTTGCCCAAGAAAACCCCATGAAAGTCATGGGGCACTGTAAATCAACTGGAGACTTGAAGACACATGCACACATACACAATCATGTTTCTAGATACAATTATTAAAACTTAACAGTCAACAGTTTAGCCTGAAGAAGAGAAGGCTGAGAGGAGATATGATAGCCATGTATAAATATGTGAGGGGAAGCCACAGGGAGGAGGAGGGAGCAAGCTTGTTTTCTGCTTCCCTGGAGACTAGGACATGAAACAATGGCTTCAAACTACAAGAAAAGAAATTCCATCGGAACATGAGGAAGAACTTCCTGACTGTGAGAGCCGTTCAGCAGTGGAACTCTCTGCCCCGGAGTGTGGTGGAGGCTCCTTCTTTGGAAGCTTTTAAACAGAGGCTGGATGGCCATCTGTCAGGGGTGATTTGAATGCAATATTCCTGCTTCTTGGCAGAATGGGGTTGGACTGGATGGCCCATGAGGTCTCTTCCAACTCTTTGATTCTATGATTCTATGATTGTTACAAATACATAACCTGGCACTGTGCACTCATAATTGCTTTGTATCTATGTTTCCTTAACACTATAGGGTAGTGGTTGCCAACCACTGGTCTTCCAAATGCTTCGAACCTCAACTTCCAGAATCCCTGACAGTTGGTCAACCCAGATACAATTGTTTGTTTTTAAATAAGTCCCAAACCTAGGCAAGAACAGTTTCCTAGGAGTAGGTATTTGGCATAGCAAAAAGCACCAAGAGAGTTGAGTTTTTGCTCATTCTGCACATATCTGTCCCCGTTGGGTCCTGGAGAATGGCAATGGAGTTGTAGTTTTTTAAAAAGACAACATTTCCAAGGAAATGGCATTACCCAGAAGAATTGAAGCTGGATGAATTGATGGCTGCTTTGGAGTTATTGTGGGACATGCCGGGGCTATTGGAGTGCAGCCCTGTGCCTGGAGACTGGGGCCGGCTGGAGCTTCCCGGAGAGCAGGAAGATGTAACTGCACAGCGGAAAGAAGAAAAGACAAATATTTCAAAAATATGAAAATAGTTTTAATAAACTATTAAAATACCACTTTTGTTCCTAAAAGTGCACTTGTTCCTTGTTTTGTCACTAGAATTTGAGCATTTGGCATTCCAAAATCCAAATATGTCAACATGGGTGGCTGAGAGAATTGCATCTTGGCTTTCTGATAGTAGGTAATATCTAAACTTTATTTCATGCACAGAATTGTTCAAAATATGATGTAAAGCGACTGTCAGCTACACATTATGTGTTTAGACCTGAGTCCCACCTCCAAGATCCCTCGTTATGTATGCATAATTAAATGTACAGATGTTCCCAAATTAAAGAAAAAATGAGCCTAAAACACTTATTGCCCCAAGCATTTTGGATAAGGGATATTCAGCCTGTATTATAGCCTGCTGTAGTGGCTTGAGCATTGGACTACAACTCTGGGAAGTACATTTTGACTCTCCTAGCAAAACTTACCCGTACCATGCATAGTGCTGTGGACAGGTGTAACAGAGAGTGGACCCAAAGATCCTGAGGTAGAAACCTGGAAGAGAGGGAAAATAAGTTAGGTTCATTCTTGAAAGGAGATGTTTTGTATGATGGAAGAGACATGGTTGGCATTAGACTGGACAGTGCTAGGAGCACTTCTTATGGAAATATCCTTGCTGCTAGTGGGCATCATTTCCCCCTCTTTCTTTATGTGTATGTGCCTTCAAGTCACTTGTTGACTTATGGCAACCCTATGAATTATGTAGGGTCTCTCTCCCACACCCAAGTAATACTCAGAGTTTTTCTACTTCCTTCCTCCAAAATACAGCCTATAAGAGCTGATATAGTTTGGCAATCTCCCATACAATTATTCAACAGGCCTGGCACTGTTCAGTTTCCAAAAAACAGATGTAATCTGGTACCTTTAGGGTACATTGGGCCCTTGGTTTCCACTGGGGTTTGGTTCCAGGATATCTAGACCCATGGAAATGCAAGACTCATTATATATAAGGTCACCAGAAGACATTTCCTTCTTGAGAGGAGAGCAATGACCAATCTCAATAAAATAGTGAAGAGTAAAGACATCACATTGGCAACAAAGATCCACATAGTTAAATCAATGGTATTCCCCGTAGTAACCTATGGATGTGAGAACTGGACCATAGGGAAGGTTGAGCGAAGGAAGATAGATGCTTTTGAACTGTGGTGTTGGAGGAAAATTCTGAGAATGCCTTGGACCACAAGAAGATCCAACCAGTCCATACTTCAGGAAATAAAGCCTGACTGCTCATTGGAGGGAAGGATAGTAGAGGCAAAGATGAAGTACTTTGGCCACATCATGAGAAGAAAGGAAAGCTTTGAAAAGACAATGATGCTGGGGAAAATGGAAGGAAAAAGGAAGAGGGGCCGACCAAGGGCAAGATGGATAGATGGTATCCTTGAAGTGACTGGCTTGACTCTGAAGGAGCTGGGGGTGGTAATGGCTGACAGGGAGCTCTGGCGTGGGTTGGTCCATGGGGCCATGAAGAGTCGGAAGCAACTGAATGAATAAACAACATCAAAAATGATGTTGCTTATATAAAATGGCAAAACCATGGTTTGCTTTTCAGATTTTTTTTTAATCAAATGGATGGTGGAATTTGTGACTACAGAATATATAGATATGGAAGAACAACTGAATTTAGTAGTTAGCTGGATCCAATTGGGAGCCAGAAGGAACTGCTTTGCAAAAGGAGAGCAGCAGAGTCACTAGGGGGTGCTCTTCTTGTTGATCCAGGATTGATGAGTTGGATGAAAGGTTCTCTCACCACCAAATCAGCCTTTACATGGACTCAGAAGAGGCAAGTGAGCATGTTGGGCAGTTACTTCATATTTTTTGCAGTGATACTTTCAGTCACAAAGTCATCACCTTTATTCCCACCACCACCATCATCTCCTGACAACTTTGGATGAAAGACTAACTAGCTCACTAACTCTTTCAACAGTCCTGGAAGACAAGTTGGTGGCATTATCTCCATATTACAGAAAGGAGATAACACAGGAAGAGAGAAATAAAAGCTTATCTACGATGGAATGAGCATGCCCATAAAACTTCAACCATGGGAGTTTTGGCTCCTATGGAAGTCCAGAAGGTCAAAGTTGCTCTGTTGAAGCTGTCACTGGGAGACTAGATGTGGCATCCCATTCTGCTATAATTGGCTACACGTGTAAGCTTTTATTGACACAGAAAATGGATAACATTCCTTGGTTAGACCCAACTAGAGAAAACAAATTGAATCAACTTTTGAATTGGCTCAAAGGTTGCTGCTGAATCCAACAGATTCAATAGTTCTATTCTAATTGAGCCTAACAATACATCAACATGGGCTTTTCCAGGAGATTCTGATTGTTCTGGACAGTGCCTGGATTTTTGAGAGGTCTGTTAATGTTCCAAACGAATCTCCAAAGAAACACATGAAGCTCTCAGAGATACCTGAAAGAGCAGCTCTTACCAGTCTGGAGTTGTAGAGGGGGGATTTGATGGGAGAGGGCATTGGGCAGCTGATGCGCTTCTCTTTCTGACGCCGGTTGCAGAACCAAACTCGGACCACCTCCTTTTCCATGGACAACTGTTCTGCAATCATGGAGATCTCCTCTGAGCTGGGCTTGGGGTTCTGCCAAGAGGAAGACCAAGATGGGCAAAATGAACGCAACCCAATGGTCAACTTTGCTTAGAGATTGGTCCTTATCAGGTGACATGTAGAAATAAACCTAGGCATTGCAACCTATTGCAAAATTACTCGGGTGTCATCAATGAATAAGACAACTCCATATTGTCAAAGGCTTTCATGGCCGGAATCACTGGGTTGTTGTCGGTTTTTTCCCACCATATAGCCCAAAAAAACCGACAACAACCCACCAATTCCATATTTTTAGAAATTATTTGGATGTGAGATAAATGGCTTGGAGAGAGAAACCGTTGAGTAGGGAGCAATGATGACTATTTTGGTGCCTACAAAAAACAACTAATTCAGTCACTTCCCTCTCCATTGTCAAGACCAGGGTATCCCTTTATGATCTCATACAATATTAGACTCATTGACTCTACATGCTGGCAGCTTGTTTTCCTTACATCTTGGAAACGTTTCTCCAAGGTGGAACGGATGTTGGTCTCGATGCTGGTCCGTTTTTTCCTCTTGCGCCCAAACATCTCATTCACAGCCGGGTAGTTGGCAGGGCTGCTGACAGAAGAATCCAAGGGGGAATTTTCTGTGAAGTGGGAAGAAAAGAGACGGTCAGAAAAGGAAGAAGAATTGAAGATGATAGATAGATAGATGATAGATAGATAGATAGATAGATAGATAGATAGATAGATAGATAGTTGATAGATAGACAGACAGATAGACAGATAGACAGATAGATAGACAGATATGAGAGACATATTGCTATTGATTAGGAGACTGCGTCTGGACACATTTTAATTTGACCTAAAGGAAACAAGTCTGGAAGCCATCATGTCTGGAAACCTATCACCTCAAAAGATTCAGTATTTTAACTCCTTTGGAGTTCAGATTAAAACCTAAAGCAAAGTCACCACCAGATTCCATTGCCTCCATTTTCGTTTCACTCTGTAGCAGTTGGTGGATGTGTTTGAACCCAAGGGAGAATGGATGAAGCCAAACAAGATGGATTATATGAATAAATCTCAAACTAATATCTCCCCAGAAAATCTGAACAGTTTTAGAAAGGGGTTTCCTAAAGGTAGGGGGTTCAAAAACTACTGAACAGCAAATGAGCTTTCCCTTTGCTCTTTCAGTTGCTGTAATGGAATCTTCCAATGGAAGGATACAATGGAAAGAAAGTGGGTTAAGCTCAACAATTTGCTGTGCCAATCTTTTCCCTCCACACTCAGTTTTCCTTTGCCTAATCTCAAATTAGGAGCCCCCAGTGGTGCAATGGGTTAAACCAGTGGTTCCCAACCTTTTTTTGACCAGGGACCACTTGAATAGGGACCTCTTTGACCAGGGATCACTCTCCAACATTAGTACCAAAATGGTTATGAATCTGTTTTTGGTCAACTTTAGATTTGGTTTGCTTATTTGGGGTGCTGATTCAGAAAATTGCATTGGAAAGACCACATCAGCTCTTGTTTCTGATACATCCAGTAGTCACCATTTGCTCACCCACAGAAAACCATATTTAATAGTAGTAATCTTTCATGTGTAGTCAGCCTCTCCCTTCCTGACATCCCCAATGCCTTGGGACTATAAGAGGGTTTTGTGAGACCAGTCACTCTCGTTGTCACATGATTTTGAGGCAATGGTGTAGTAAAGGTGAGGCCACAGACCATATTTTCCTTCTTGCGGAACACTGGTGGTCCATGGACCACAGGTTGGAAACCACTGGATTAAACTGCTGACTGGAAGGTCAGTGGTTTGAATCTGGGGAGCAGGATGAGCTCCCATCTGTCAGTTCCATCTTCTTATGTAGGGACATGAGAGAAGCCTCCCACAGGATGGTAAAATATTTGGACATCCCTGGGCAACGTCCTTGCAGATGGCCAATTTTCTCACACCAGAAGTGATTTGCAATTTCTCAAGTCACTCCTGACATGGAAAAAAACCCCCTCAAATTATGGTGTGCTTGAAAGCTGTCTATCTATCTGTCTATCTGTCTATCTATCTATCCTTTAACATTATCTGGTTGCTGTAATAAAAATAGAGATTTACTGGCCAAGTTTGTAATGATGAGAATACTCTATTGCTCCCTAGTGGACACCTGATAGGGTACAATGCAAAGCATTCAATTTTTTATTTCAATGATTTCTCCAAGAAAGCACACATTTCAGTGCCTTTGTTTTCGCTCCCTTATCATTTAAAAACATTGTTAGGAAATGATATGTCAATCTGTGGAGTTTTTCACAATGATTTCAATAAAATTATTTATGAGGAAAGCTTTCAATACTTTTGTACAAAACATTAAATTTTACTCTCTGAATATTTGCATGTATGTTTACGCAGATGTAAGTGAACAATGCTTACTGATGTGAGCTTGTACACACACACACACACACACACACACACACACACACATCACCAAATCAGTTTAAAGGATTTTAGCTATTTATTTTTAATTCTATTTTAATTTTTGTATATTTTTGGGTTTAAAATTATATTGAATTGGCTGTAAGCTGCCTTGAGTCTCATTTGCAGAGGGTAAAAGAAGGGTATAAAATATAATAATAATCTATATAAATAAAATTGTAATGTTCGTTTGTGGGATTAACATAACTCAAAAACCACTGGATAAATTGACACCAAATTTGGACATAAGACACCTCTCAGGCCAAAAACGGGTAGAAAAGGAAGGAGAGAAGGAAGGAGAGAAGGAAGGAAAGAAAGAAAGAAGGGTAGAGAAGGAAGGAGGGAGAGAAGGAGGGAAAGAAGGAGGGAAGGATATAAGGAAAGAAAGAAGGCTTTAGAAGGAAGGAAGGAGAGAATGAGGGAGAGAAAGAGGGGGAGAAAGAAGAAGGAAAGAAAGAAAGATAGAGAAGGAAGGAAGGAGAGAAGGAGGGAGAGAATGAAATAAAAAAGTGAAAGAGGGAAGGAAGGAGAGAAGGAACGAAAGAGAGAAAGAGGGAGGGAAGGAGGGAAGGAAAGAGACAAGGAAGGATGGAACCAAAGAGCAAAGGAAGCAAGAAAAGAAACAGGTAGAAAAGGAAGAAAGAAGAAGGGAAAGTAAAAGAGGAAAGGAAGGAAGGAGGGAATGAAAGAAGGAGAGAAAGAGGGAGGGAAGGTTGGCCACAGCAACGCATGGTGGGTACACCTAGTAATAACAACAATAACAACAACAACAACAACAACAACAACAACAACAACAACAACAGCAATAATATCAGCACCTCTTCCAACAAATGTCTCACTTCAAATACATTTAGCCACTGAGATGGCTGTATCATTCACACCTGTAAAAAGGAGGTGCAGAAAGGAGGTCCCCTCCAAAGGACATCACTATTTCTCCAAATCCATCATCCTACCTGCATCGCTGAGCCACTTTTCCAGCAGTGGCTTGAGTTTGCACATATTTTTGAAGCTGAGGTTCAGGGCCTCAAAGCGGGAAATGGTTGTCTGGCTGAAGTCGTTTCCATACAGCTTTCCCATGGCAAGACCTACATCGCCCTAGGGAAGGCAGAACGGGGTCAGGATCAGGAATCTGGGAGCAGAGCCCTACTATGTCTTGTAAGAGATATTTCACTGAACCCAGAAGTGGAAGGAAAGTGCCAAGGCTGAAAGGAGACCCTGCTTACCTGAGTAAACCCAAGTTTTATTCGCCTTTGCTTGAACGTCTTGGCAAACTTTTCGAGCTCCTCAAGGTCATTGGCTTCATCGGTGGCCATGGAGGAGGGCAAGTGCTTGGCAACTTGTAAATGTTGAGGGACCTCCATGTGAGGTTCAAGTGAAGATGACCCAGGATGGCTGGGGCGTCCCACTGTCTGAATAGAAAAACACATCGGAACATCCATTGTATTCAGTACATTCAGAAATTATTCTGCACAAAAAATGTATTTTTATGTGGAAAACAGAGAGTTCTCTATTTCCATACAGAAAACAACATTTTTGTACAATGGCTGCAAATTCCTGTGTAGAAAATACTGTTTTTCTGCACAAGAAAAAGTTTTACATACAAATTTTGCACAAAATAAGTCCCAGACTACAAAAATTCTCAACAAATGAGGATTATTCTCATCTGAGTTTCTGAATGTCTGGCAAACATGGTTTTTGACTCTTTCCATATATTTTTATGATATCTTACTTAATCTAACCCTATGAACAGAATGGCTATAACAGTGGTTCTCAACCTGTGGGTCCCCAGGTGTTTTGGCCTACAACTCCCAGAAATCCCAGCCAGTTTACCAGCTGTTAGGATTTCTGGGAGTTGAAGGCCAAGAACATCGGGGACCCCAGGTTGAGAACCACTGGGCTATAAGAATATCCCTGGAACAAATGATCATCCTTTGCCACCACTACTTCTTTCCATGATAATATGAGACAGGATCTTGACAGTGGAATGTGGAAAGCCAAAAGAAATTTCAAACATAAGATATTAATGCCAGATAATAAATTATTTGATGTGAATGCCTGGGCTATTTTGAAAATATTGCAGAAAAATCCCAATTAGCATTTGGGCAGGACAAACATCCATGGCTATTCCCAAAGACTTTGAGATTCTGAAAGCAGAGGTGGAATTAGAGCCTGTTCTTGATCGTAAGATTCCTCCAACTTCCGACTTCTGATGCAAATGATTCTCCAAAGTAATTCTTCCACTGCTCTAACAATTGCTGACTACTTGATATCATGGGCTCCGTGACCTGTGTTCAATTTCAGTAGGTGGCACGTTTGTCTGGATTTGAGAAAGGGATTTAACATATCACAATAACCAGTAGCTGAGATGCAATGGGATTTCATAACTGATTTCATATTTAATTCCTGGCAAGTGATAGGATTTTGTCTTGAGCAATAATGATAAGGATGTGCAGCAGTATCTAGTGGCCAGGATCCAAGCAGTCAGATATGAAGAGCAAGTTGTATCCACATCAGGGAATTATAGCAGTGTGACATTGTTTTAACTGCCATTCCTCGATGATATGGAATTTTGGATTTGTCGCTTTGTGTGTTATTTACCATTTTCTGGTGCCGCAACAAAGGACAATTCCCATGATTCCATAGAAAGGAGTTATGGCAGTTGAAGTGACATCAAACTGTTTTGATATCACAGTGTGGATGGTCTCCAAGGGTGTATCTACACCGTACAGTTTGATACCACTTTGAATTCCCATGGCTCAATGCTATGGGTTCGTGGGAGATGCATTTGGTGAGGCAGGAGCATTCATAGAATCATAGAATCAAAGAGTTGGAAGAGACCTCATGGGCCATCCAGTCCAACCCCCTGCCAAGACGCAGGAATATTGCATTCAAATCACCCCTGACAGATGGCCATCCAGCCTCTGCTTAAAAGCTTCCAAAGAAGGAGCCTCCACCACACTCCTGACTGTGAGAGCCGTTCAGCAGTGGAACTCTCTGCCCAGGAGTGTGGTGAAGGCTCCTTTTTTGGAAGCTTTTAAACAGCAGCTGGATGGCCATCTGTTGGGGGTGCTTTGAATGCAATTTTCCTGCTTCTTGGCAGAATGGGGTTGGACTGGATAGCCCATGAGGTCTCTTCCAACTCTATGATTCTATGAGGGGCTTTTTGGGTACATTGAAATGACCAGTAAATCCTCTTGTCTTTTGACATGTCCAAGATTCTAATGACAGTTCTGACTGTTTCAGAATTTCACTCAGAGGGGTTCAACCAAACCAACCTAGAGTTACCTGAGATGTTAAGCTGTGTCCATGCTGAGGAAGGAGGAGACCGCTCTGCTGCTGGGGGAAGGAGAGAAGATTTGATGGCAGGGCTGTGAAAAGAAAGACAGAAAGAGAGAAGAGGTGATGATGGTGTTGGCGAGGATGATGGTGATAAAGAAGAGAAAGAAGAATTTATTTATTTATTTATCTATATAAATAAAAATGTAATGTTCGTTCGTGGGATTAATATAACTCCAAAATCACTGGACGAATTGACATGAAATTTGGACACAATACACCTAACAGTCCAAGGAGTGTCCATCACCCATAAACACACACGTACACACACACACACACTAAACCCCAGCAGAACTTAAACCCCCCCAATTACACCATATATACATATATACACATACACTCATATACATATGCACATGCACACAGTCATACACACATGTATATATATGCACAAATACACGCAAATGTACACATATTTATTTATTTAAATTATTTGTATACTGCTTTTCTCACCCTGAGGGGGACTCAGAGCGGTTTACATATAAGTAATGGCAAAATTCAATGCCAGTACAAACAATTACAATTATACATTACAATTAGACATAAATCAAATTAAAATACATCCATAAGCAATAAAACAATCATTAAAACACTAAAACAATCTCGTCTGTTGAATCGCCATTCCAGTCATTGTCTTTCTGAAATGCTGCATACATTTACTTCTACTGCCTGAAGGCTGGTCCCAAAACCATGGTTTTCTAAATAAACACACACATACATACACACATATATACATAAACACATGCACATATACATGCACACACATATACATATGCACACACATATTCACATGCACATATACATACACACACATATATATCCACATACATACATATATACACACAAATATGCATATAGACAAGCACCCACATATACACAATATGCATGTACACATATAAACACACAAAACACATATATACAGACTGGGCCACAGCAACGCGTGGCAGGGGACGGCTAGTCTATATAAATAAAAATGTAATGTTCATTTGTGGGATTAATGTAACTCAAAAACCACTGGGCAAATTGACACCAAATCTGGACACAAGACACCTATCAGGCCAATGAGTGACCATTACTCATAAAAACACTGAAAAACACAGCGGAAGCCAAACAAAAATTAAAAATACCTTACAACACATTCACACAACCACACATACACATATGCACAAATATATACACACACATATACACACACAAATCTCATATACACAGACTGGGCCACAGCAACACATGGCTAGTTTACTATATTTATATACCATCCCTCTCAGCTCGCAGGCGACTCAGTGAGGTTTACAGTTGGTACCAAGACCACAAAATACAATTTCAATACAATAAAACAATAGAATAAAAAAACCATAGCAGGGTTTTATTTTATTTATTTATACACTACCGTTTCTCCAGAAGTGGACTCAATGCTGCAGACTTACAAATGGAAACACAGGACCATTCCATAGCATTGGGCCATGACAATTAAAAAGGTTCCAAACTGTATTAATTCTACAGTATAGATACACCCTTAGAGTGATCCAACAGCATCATGGACATTATTATTTACAGCAACGCCCAACCAGGTACCCTTCCAGATATGCATAGTGATAGAACCGGTTGGTTGGTCACTGGTTGCCCGTCTGCTTCTGGGCTAAATACAAAGCACTGGGCATTACCTATAAAGCACTAAATGGTTCAGGTCTAGGCTATTTGTCTAATCGCATCTCTCCATACAAACCATCCCGGGCTCTGTGATCAATAGAGGAGGCCCTCCTCTTGGTCCCACCCCCCTCACAAGCTTAGTTGGTGGGAACAAGAGAGGGGGCCTTCTCAGTGATTGCACCCTGTTTCTGGAGCTCCCTTCCTAAAGAAGTAAAAAGGGCCCCTACCCTCCTCTCTTTTAAGACACTTCTAAAAATGTACTTATGCACTTTAGTGTATGGAGAGGAGGAGGACTAAAACATGTTACCCATCTGGAATGCTGGCCAACTCCACTTGCACTCTATGGCTGCCATGATACATCTTAAAGGAACACTGTCACCAGCCATTTTTAATGTAACTATATTTTAAACTATTTTGAGGGTATTTGTTGTAATGTTTATGTTTTAGTTAATTATGTCTTACTGGCTATTCTGTTCTATTTTTATCTCAGTGCTTAATCCTTCATGGTAAACTAATTGTTATTATGCTCTATTGTATATTTTTATATGTTTTTGATATGTTTTGTACTCACTTACACACTGAATGTCTGCCTTCTTATGTGTAAACTGCCCTGAGTCCCCTTGGAAAGAAAGGGTGGTACAGAAATAAAGTTTTATTTATTATTATTATTATTATTATTATTATTATTATTATTATTATTGACACAAAAGCACAGTATGTCACAGCAAACCAGATCTATATACTGGATTTTGTGTCACCAAATGATGCACGCAGATCCAAGTCAGGTGGCCTTTTGCAGTTGACAGATCATGATTTTGTCAATGTTTATTATTTACAAATGCCGGCTGAGATCTTTTGGCATGGCACCCAGTGTGCCCATGACCACTGGGACCACCTGTACTGGTTTATGCCAGAGCCTTTGCAGTTCGATTTTGAGGTCCTGATAACGACTGAGTTTTTCCTGTTGTTTTTCCTCAATGCGACTGTCACCTGGAATGGCGACATTAATAATTCAAACTTTTTTTTCTTTTCCACAATCGTGATATCTGGTTTATTGTTTTCCAAAACTTTATCAGTCTGGATTTGAAAGTCCCACAGTATTTTTGTGTGTTCATCTTCTACTATGTTTGCAGGTTTATGATCCCACCAGTTCTTTACTACTGGCAGGTGGTACTTGGGACATGAGTTCCAATGAATCATTTGCACCATAGAGTTGTGCCTCTGTTTGTAGTCTGTCTGTGCGATTTTCTGGCAGCAGCTGAGGATACGATCAATGTTTTCATCAGCTTCCTTGCACAGTCTGTATTTTGGGTAATCAGCTGATTTTTCAATCCTATTATTATTATTATTATTATTATTATTATTATTATTATTATTGAGCCCCCGGTGGTGCAGTGGGTTCAACCCCTGTGCTGGCAGGACTAAAAACCGACAAGTTGCAGGTTCAAATCTGGGGAGAGGTGGATGAGCTCCCTCTATCAGCTCCAGCTCCTCATGCGGGGACATGAGAGAAGCCTCCCACAAGGATGATAAAAACATCAAATCATCCAGGCGTCCCCTGGGCAATGTCCTTGCAGACAGCCAATTCTCTCACACCAGAAGCGACTTGCAGTTTCTCAAGTCGCTCCTGACACAACCAAAAACATTATTATTATTATTATTATTATTATTATTATTATTATTATTCTAAAACCCATTGACCACATTAGTCGCAAGCATTGCAAGTTGTAACCTCACCAAATTGGGGGAGTGGGGATCTGTTGTAAGCCAAGTTGCAGCAGCACTATTTTGTCTTGCTTTGCAAATGTGTGGCCAAGGTTGTGAAGCTGGAGTTTGCCTGAGGGTTGCTTGGTGATCATTTCACATTTCCAAAACAAGATGGTGCAACGGCATCAGAAATTATATGCATATCAGTTTTATTGCAAGACACGAAAGAGACAAATTGGCTGCCATCCCTTCTCCTCATTATGCATTTTCAAATTGGGACTCTGGCTACCTCCATCAAAGAGCAGATAGCATCGGAGCAATAGGGTGATGAGCTGTACAATGTAAAGGCAGGCAGGGTGTTAAATGAAGAGGGCGAAATGAAGGATTGACGTGGATGAGGTCTCAAGATCCTTATAGTCCAGGTAGGCCTTCAATTGCTGTTTAAAGATCAGAAATTGTGGTGGACTGAAGGACAGTCCACCATGATGTAAGGCACACTCTTTTTCAGCGTAGAATCAGGAAGTTCTTTCTCTTATATGGCTGCTATCTTGCTTGTAATTTGAATACAGATTTAATCTTGTTCTCCAGAGAATGAGAAAAAAACCTTCTCCAAAAATTCTTCTTTGAAGAAGTCCATTATATAGGAAATAAATAAATAAGTCTTTCAATTATGCTTGAGCATGAGGACGCGAAGAGTCGGAAGAAACCGAATGAATAAACAACAACATACTTCGTTTCTAGGCCCTTTACCATCTTGCTTACTCTCAAACAAGGTTCCTGCTTGTTGAACAAGAAGTAGAATGGTTTGGTAACGGCCATCAGAGCTGGCAGATGTTAGCCCAGGATCAAGCAACTTGTGTTCCTCCATACATCGGGCTGCAAAAATGCCCATCTACAAGAGTTGAATGAAAAGTAATGCCTCCACCTTCATAACTCCTCAACAGATGGCAGTACTGGTATGCGTCAGGCACTGGCTTGTTCAGTAGACTCTCCTCTACAGTTCTATTTTGGCAGGAAGACTTTGCATTGAATGGTTGTATTGTTAAAGTGCGAAGTATGGAACCTGTGCAGACGGTCGGCCAATGCAACTTAAGCAACATGCATTCATTGAATTCTTGACAGCAGAAGGTGTCACCCCAAAGGAGATTCATCAGAGGATGCAAGCTGTTTATGATGATTGTGTTGATGTGAATACTGTGCGTCGTTGGGCAAGTAAGTTTAAAGATGTTGAGGTGGGAACATCTGACTTGTGTGACAAAGAGTTGGAAGTCCTGTGACAGCAACCACCAAGTTTTATAAGTAAAGGGTTGACAGATTGATTCAGGTTGACCGTCGTTTTGCTCAGAGAGAAACTTCAAGCATAATCAGCATTTCACAAGAACATGTGGGTCATATTATTGCTTTGCTTGGCTATCGGAAGATCTGAGCACGATGGGTATCCAGGATGCTGATGCCTGAAAAGAAAGTGCACGGACTTGAAACTTCAGAGACTGGATCTCACCACGGTACGACATCCTCCATACAGTCCAGATTTAGCACCGTCTGACTTCTATCTGTTCCCGATAATGAAAGAAGATCTGTGGGGACATCAGTATGCTTCTGATGAAGATGTTGAGAGAACTGTGAGAGGCTGGTTGCGGAAACAGAGTGTCGATTTCTTCTGTGATGGCTTCAGAAAATTTGTTCATTGTTGGCAGAAATGTATCCAATTGTCTGGTGATTATGTGGAAGAGTGACTAATGGTAGTTAAAGAGCACATTCTAAGGATTATTTCTGCATTTGATTTATTAAAATATTCCCATTCAAACCCAAGTAACAAAGGTGGAGGCATTACTTTTCATTCAACCCTCGTATTCTCATGACTAGCCACACTTCTAGTGACTGATGAAAATAGCTTTCAATGAATTTAGAATGAAGTTCCTCCTGTTTCAAAATCCATTTAGGGGACTCAGAAGCCATTGATTTGGACTCCTGAAGTTGAGAACCGTCAAAAGCTGGAGACCCAAAAATGATACGGGGAGTACAAAAATATATTCTGGATTCAAGAGCAGGGCAGCATCTCTTAGCTGGCTTGGATATCTCTCATAACATGAATATTGATGCTGTTTCCACCATGAAGCATTTTCTGTTTGCCTTATATAGGGAAATTGATTGTCCAATGCAAGCTAATGGATCACACTAAACTGAACTGAAGGTGTGCCATGCCTCCTGCAAACATTCCAGTCCTTCTAGTATCTCCAAGGGATGCACAATGGTGTGTCGTCATTTCATCTGGATACCTCATGAGTGGATCCTTCTCTGCTGCATACAATCCTGACAGTCAGCTTTAGGAGACAATAATTAAAAAATAACAACAGAGAGTAAATATAGAGATGCAAATGTCTTTATATGCTAGCTCCGGGGGAGTGTAGCTTGAGCTTCCAATCTGGATCATTGATTAAATGGTGTCATGCCCATTTGTCTGTCATGGATGTCCCAAAGCTGGATATACCATCCCATACTTTGAAAAAGAAACCCTTGACTGAATTCTCACAATGTTTGGAGGATCCAAAGATGTTTGTTTTTGGTTCAGCACCTTGCAGGATAAACCTATAGAAGGAACTCTTTTCAGAGATGAAGAGTTTATGTCTGGGGAGAGCAAAGAAACGGCACATCCTAATTCCAAAGAAGATGAAAGTCTCTATTTCGAGGATGGGTGAAGGTCCATGGGTTCAAATCTTGCTGAGGGCCCTGACTGAGCCAAGGGTGTGTTCCCATCCTGTCTCCAAAGAGACTGAGTCACCACGAGGATCAAATGCATGCAGCTTTCCTGCTTCCCCGGCTTTCCTCACTTTGCTGCGTAACCCCGGTTTCAGGTCTTTCGACGACTTCAGCAGAACCTGCGTTTCACCTCTTATGTCATGTCTCCAGAGGAAACGAAGCAAAACAAAGCTGTCGAAACCACAGGGCCATGATTGGCAATTCATTCACCTGCCAGGCACCTTGCAAATTAGGGGCATGGATGTCGAGCTAATTAGATGTACAAGCCACAAATGGGACCTTGCCGAAGCCAGAGACGTCGCTGCTATTGTCATTTAATCAACCAGGAGTGCGATAGGATCTCAATGAGCCAGACAAATTAGCCAAGTGGCTTTTCCTCCAAGCTTCAGGGTGGGAGGTAGACAAGCTCAAAGGAGTATCTTCCAGGATGGGAAGGAGTGGGAAGGGGGGGGGGCGGTCAGGAGAGTGCATGTACATGAATACATTAATGTTGATGCTAAATAAAATCTTCGAGGAAACCGGGAATCTGTGGTTCCAGGAATAACAGCAGCTAGAGCCCGAACCTTGATTCTGAAATGATTCCGTTCTTGAATGTCATATGAAATGCAAGAGAGGAAAAGTCAGGAGGAAAGCGAGCTTTGGGTCCAACCTATCTTCAAGACTGCATCTCACCGCCCCAGGCTTTAAGATCTACCGGGGAGGCCATTCTCTCCATCCTACCTCCATCTCAAGTGCGGTTGAGGATGAGGATGAGAGAGAAGGCCTTCTTGGTGGTGGCCCCCCAGCTTTGGAATGCCCTCCCGAGGGAAATCAGGCAAGTCTCCACCTTCCAAACCTTCCAAATTAAAGACCTGGCTTTTTTGACAAACCTTTGACCATGTTTAGACTCTCTAATAATACATATGAGGACCTTTAGATTCTTTATTAGACTTTTAGATTCTTTATTAGCACTTTATACTTCTGAGATTGAATACTGTTTTTTTTTTTTACAGCAATTGCTGTAATTTATTGTTTTTACCAGGGGATACTGTGAATTTTACCAGGGGGTGCTGTGTGTAATGGTGCTGCATGCAGTCATGCTGGTCACATCACCTTGGAAGCGTCTATGGACAACGCCAGCTCTTCGGCTTAGAAATGGAGATGAGCATCACACCCCAGAGTCAGACATGACCGGACTTAATGTCAGGAGAAAACCTTTACCTACCTATTGTGAATTTATGATGTTGTGTTGACTGTTTATTGTCTATATTTTGTTTCACCCTTGTTATATTTTGCATGTCTCACGTTCAGTGTTTTGTGAGCTGCCCCGGAGGAATGATTAAATGAACAACAAACAATACCAACAGAAGTAGGCTGATTATTCCTTACTCAGAACTGAAATACTCCAAACCTATGTCAGCGGCGGAGATGATGATCCCTTTGCTTTCTGATGGTTTGGTGTACATGTTTTGTTTCATGCACAAAATTATATTCAAAAATAAATTATCTCTAGGCTATGTGTATAAGATGCATGTGCCCATGCGCTTGGAGGAAATGCAAGCATATAGATCTGCCACACATTGGCTGAACATACCTCTTGCTTTCCCCAGGTGACATAGATCTTGGAAAGGGAAACTGATGCATATACTGTTCGCCCAAGGGAACCCATAATCCGATCTAGTGCCAGGATTTTGCATACGTATATAGAGAGAGTCAACAAACAGGAATATACCATACTCTTACCTTGTTGACCCTGAGAAAGTAGGAAAAGGGGGACGGACTGCATGTGGCTGGGGACTTGCACCAGTTGCTGCAAAGTATGAAGAGAACTCATGTCCTGGAGAAAGAGGAGGAGAATGCAAGTTACATACAATGCAATTGGATGTCTTCATGTAATTCTGTAATCTGTACATCCTGGCTGCATGCCCAATAAGCACAGGGGGGTTTATACATGATTAGATTTTGATGGGTCAGTGACTCAGTTCCTGGAGACAAAAGTCAACTCAGTCATTGGAGCCAAACATATACCAATTCACAGCCCAAACTATTGCAAATGTATTGTCAAAGGCTTTCATGGCCAGGATCACTGGGATGTTGCAGGTTTTTCGAGCTGCATGGCCATGTTATAGAAGCATTCTTTCCTAATGTTTCGCCTGCACCTATGGCAGGCAACCTCACAACCTCTGAGGATGTCTGCCATAGATGCAGAAGAAACATCAGGAGAGAAACCTACAACAACCCAATATTGCAAATGTACCTGGGGACTTACTTAAGTGATCCCTCATTGGCCGAGTAGGATTGTCTTCCAAGATTGGTGCCCTGGCGGTGGGTACGTAGGTGACTGTGGACCCCTATTTGTAATCTGTATTTTCTCTCACAGTGAGGGCATTGGTTTCCAGATGGAAGGCAGTCCAGGTCGGGGTTGCCTTGATGCGCCTTCCTCTTGGCACATTTCTCTCTTTCACCCTCAATTCGTGCCTCTTCAAATTCTACAGCACTGCTGGTAACAGCTGATATCCAGATGGAGCGCTCAAGGGCCAGGGCTTCCCAGTTCTTAGTGTCTATGTCAGAGTTTTTAAGGTTGGCTTTGAGCCCATCTTTAAATCTCTTTTCCTGTCCTCCAACATTCCATTTTCCATTCTTGAATTTGGAGTAGAGCAACTGCTTTGGGAGATGGTGGTTGGGCATCCAGACAACATGGCCCATCCAGTGGAGTTGATTGCAGAAGACCATCGCTTTAATAGTGATAGTCCTTGCTTCTTCCAACACATTGACATTTGCCCGCTTGTCTTCCCAAGAGATTTGCAGGATTTTTTGGTGGCAACACTGATGGAATCGTTCCAGAAGTTGCATGTGACTTCTGCAGATAGTCCACGTTTTGCAGGCATATAGCAGGGTTGGGAGGACAATAGCTTTATAAACAAGCACCTTGGTATCCCTACAGATGTCCTAGTCCTCAAACACTCTCTGCTTCATCTGGAAAAATGCTGCACTCGCAGAGCTCAGGCTGTGTTGTATTTCAGTGTTAATACCTGCGGAATTCAGCTTATGAATGATTCTCTGCACATAAAAGGCTAATATGTCAGGGCTTGGTTGGAACTTCCTTCTTGATCACCTCACTTTGAATTTATAGGGAGCTTTTTCTTAATCTGAGGAAGCTGTTGAAGATAGGAAAACATCACAGTCCTCACAACCTCTGAGGATGCCAGCCATAGGTCCAGGCGAAATGTCAGGAGAGAATGCTTCTAGAACATGTCCATACAGCCCAAAAAACCTTCAACAACCCAGTGATCCCGGCCATGAAAGCCTTCGACAATACATTTGCAATCGTTTGGGCTGTCAGTCGGTATACGTTTGGCTCCAAGGACTGTGATGACTTTTGTCTCCAGGAACTGAGTCACTGACCCACCAAAATCTAATCATATATAAATCCCCCTGTTGCAAAGCCCTGTTTATTAAAATATCCTTAAGCTCAAGGTAGCAGAGCCCTCAACATGCCTGTTCTCCATTTAGCAACTGATGGCACTATCAAAACATAACCAGTTGGGGAGAAAGCAGCCTGGTGCCGAGGTGTGCAAAACCAATTTGGCAACTCAGCATTGTTATATTGCAGATTCATTGCTGTAGTTTCAGACGTTGCGAAATAACGCACGCACATAGACGCCTATCAACATATTGCTGAAGGTCTGCAGTTCAGTGACAGAGTGCATGATCTATGTAAAGGAGATCCCACGTTCAGCCCCAGTAGCTCCAAGAAAGGTTGGGAAAGTCCCTTATTTGAAACCCTGAAGAGCTAGTTTTGTGATCTGGAACAAGGCAGCTTCCTTTCCTCTTAATTTCTCAAACATTTAAACATCAAATGAGCTATCCAAGGGGTTAGACCTACCTTGGAGATTCTTGGATAGCTTTCTTAAAAATTTGGACTAAAACCCAATGTGTATTCACCATCCCACTGACATGAGAGATGGAAGCCACCACTGTACCCAAACCTCAGCTTGCAAACTGAATTGGTGCATGGACAGTTAAGAATTATTCTTCCCTAAAACAGAAGGCAAGCAATTAAAAATGGACAGAATTTGGATTTCTGCCACTAGCAGAACCAGAAAGTGGTTGATGCCCCTTCTCACTTCTTTTCAATATTAACAATTTATTTTAAAAGTATGGAAGCAAACACAGGCTGCAATACAACATTTCCTGAGCACAGTGCATCTGCTATGGAAGACCCAAACAACCCTTATGCACAATAGCAATATTGTGCAAGACATGTCAAAAATTAGGAACCCTTTTGCAATGCACCATGCACAATACATCAGGCATAACTGCAATGCATGATATATCCAATATGCAATGGACAATGGCAATCATAATGTGCAGAAAGACAAATGGGAAATGCTGTCTGCACAACTCTGCTTCCACCACTATCAGAAGACTATATCCCTTGTGTAATGGTGAACTCTGGCCCTGCATGTGAACTGACTTATGTATGCCTATCTCAACTGCCTCATTGATGATGATGAGGATTTAAAAATGTCTTCCCCTGTCCATTATATTGGTTAGGCATCTAACTCAGCCTTCTCTCAATGTACTTTCCTCAAGAAGAGTTGGATACGACTCCTGATCATGGCTGGTTGGGTTTAAATGTAGGTATACATCAAAAATCTCTGAGGAACAACAGGCAAAGGAAGGCTGTTATAAGTCCTCATGAAAAGGTTTTAGGCTACACACAACATTGATTGGTCTGTCATATCCACTGTTCTTCTTTCGGTTTAAAATGGGAGCTTTCCTAAGAACACAGTTGCTCTCCAAACGATCCAGTGCTCAAACTGCTACGCAAGACTGGCTTTCGATCTCCTTGAAAACTAAGCAATGCCTCCCAAGAACACTCTCAACCAGCAAAATGTACCAAATGCTCCCTTACCCCTGTAATTTGCCCTCCTGGCATCATTGATGGCCCTTGGGGGAGATGACTTGACCTGGAGGGGATGGCAGCTTGCAAAGAGTCACTGAGGTCTTCTGTTTTAATCTACAAAGGAGAGAAAAAGGAACCATTTATTTGGTTTGCATCCCATAACTGGGACAAAGAGAGACTCACAAGAAGCAACCTGTCACAATGAAAGAACGTGATAATTCTACTTGTACTGTTAAACATGGCTGAACTGTATAAAGCCGGTTAGAAGCAAATTGATACAGTTGTTGTAGCCTGGTCAGATTATGACCAGGGGATGCTGGGATAGATTTAGAGGGCCCAGAAGAGGATAGAAATGGCCTAGACGGAGTTGTTTTGGGATACCCTGGCAGTTCCCATGAGACTGGAGAAAGCAATATCAGTTCTCATGAGAATCTGCCAGAAGTACCACCTGAGAGAAATGTGGGAGATGAATGTTTGTCTAGATCAAGGTGCTTGGAATTGTGGAGACAGAGAATGCAACAGAGACAGAGTCGCTTTCCCCAGAAAAATAGAGATAAGGAAAGGAAAAGCAGGTGTATGAGAAATGATGTTATGGGAAGGACTGGGGCCTTTTAGGTGTTTAGATGTTTTAATTTTTTTGGTTTTAATGTATATGTTTATTTTAATTGTATCTATCATTTTTATGGCATTGAATTGTTGCATATGTGTAAATGCCACTCTGAGTCCCCTTCGGGGTGAGAAGGATGGGATATAAATATGGTAAATAAATCTATATAAATAAAAATGTAATGTTTGTTTGTGGGATTAACATAACTCAAAAACCACTGGACGAATTGACACCAAATTTGGAGGCAATACACCTATCAGGCCAACAAGTGACCATCACTCATAAAAACACTGAAAAACACATCAGAAGAGACATAAAAAGCCAAAAATAACAAATTACAATGCATGCTCAAAACCACACATATATGTGCAAACACACATATACACATATACACAAATATATGCACACACAAAACACATATACACAGATTGGGCCACAGCAACGCATGGCAGTGGATGGCTAATAAATCATAAATTTTAAAGTGGTTCCTGCTGGTACAAATCTTATGTGAGAGCAAAGTTGTAATCAGGGAAACAGCTCTCAGTTTTTGGAATTCATATATTTAAGTTTCTAAGTTTGTTCTTGCTTCTAGTTCATGTGTGGCATAGGTTGCCTGCTTTGGATTGATGCTATCTTGCTTACGGATATATTCGTGGATTGACTCTGGAAACTGTTGGAAATAACCTTTTGAACTTTGATTTTCTTTTTTGAATTTGCACATTAGAGATATACTCTCTTCATTCAATAAACTTCTACTTACTGGATTACCTGGACAGAGTGTGGCTTGTGGTGAAAAGGGGTTTCAGGGCTCTAGTGCAACAACAGTAATACAACACTGATCTGTTAAAAGACCTTTCCTAGAAGGTAGTCCAAGGTTTATATCATGATAAAAGCCAACAAGGGGAACCAGAGGAGAAACATTTGGGAAGAAGGACTTAGTGGGTCATCCAAGATCTTGGGGTTGGGTGAGGAAGACTGATCCACTCCTGTGTTTCAGTTCAGGCTGTTTTCCGTGGACTTCCCCTTCCTATCTCCATGTTATCTGGGATTTTGGCTTCCAAGGCTGCCCACTGTGCCAACTGGCATGGAGACCCTACACATGAGTTGGCCAGCACGTGACATCATTGGCTCTCCATGTTGTACCGAAACCAAAAGAAGAGATACTACCAAAAAGACATTTCAGGCATCCCAGAAATGGTGACATGAAGATACAGAGATGTTTTTCGAGGTTGTTTCAAAGGCACCCAAGAAGTCTACTCTCCAAACCAAGGCAGTATGTTTGCAGTGGAGGAAAAAATGAAACTGGGAACATCTTGAATGTTGGGTAAATAATATTTTGTAAGATCCCTTCTGTCGCACCTCAGAATAGGTTCACCTTGCTGAAAACACTAAACTGCACACAACCAGAAGTCTTTATTTGTTAAAAAGATGAAAAGTTTTTAAAAGCAAAAGTAATGTTCTAAAAGATCAATACAAAATAACACTTTGAAGTATGATCCACAAAGGCACCAGCAAAAGCAAAATCCCATGAGAACACAACTGAGTCTTGAGACCATGAACACAAGAACTGCAAGATAATCCAGACAAGCAAAATGTAAGCTTCTTGGTTAATGTAAAGTTGCTCTGACAAAGGTTTGGTCCCAAACACACTACTTAATACCCTTTGCAAAACATGAAGGCGTTTCTTTGGCCTCTGACTTCCTTCCTGTTAGCTATTCTCACACTCCTTCGAACTCTGAATTCCAAACAGTCAGCACAATCTAAGGTTCCCGTTTTGTCCAGGTTAGTCTGTTTGTTAGTGTTATCCAATTTGCCTTCCTGCTCATTATCAGGCTGAGAACTCTTCTCCTTTTCTGAGTCAATTTGCACCTGCACCTGGCTAGTCTCAGTATCAACAAACTCCTTCCTCGCTGTGGGAAACGGAACTTCCACACCCTGTTCCTCATTGACTAGAACAGGGACATTTTGAACCAGATTGTGAACCTGAATCCCATCATCCTCATCAGAGGCACTCTGTGGGTCCAGCTGAGTCACAACACCTTCTCCCACTCTGGAATACAAGAGGACTCATAATCAACCTCTGATATATAGATGTAAATTTTGACTTGTTTCATTCAGGCATGAAAGAATGAATAATATCAATAGTTTTTCCCCATGGCTGGAGGATAGTCATGAATTTTGATGACATTCTTAAGACTTTGTGTGAAAAATTGCAATTTTTTGCAACAATTTTTTTTTGTGCTGACATGTGCTGTCATGTTTTGTGTGGTTTTTTGTGCTGTCATGTGGATTTTCATTTTAAGTGTCATTTTTAATAAAACAAAGAAACAAAACAGCTAATTGTTCTTTAGACAGAAAAACCTCTAAGTATTTTGTGCAAAATAATTATTCCATTAAATTTTTCCAGCTTTTTATGCTTGTGACATTTTTAAGAGATGCATCCTTTCGTGACATGGTAATACAGTTTAATAATAATAATAATAATAATAATAATAATAATAATAATAATAATAATAATAATTTATATGTCTTCCACCACCGTCTCCCTGAAGGGACTCAGGGCAGCTCACAGAAAGCACTCAATACTGCAAAAAACATGCTAAGGTAAAGGTAAAGGTTGTCTCCTGACATTAAGTCCAGCCGTGTCCAACTCTGGGGATTGGTGCTCATCTCCATTTCTAAGCTGAAGAGCCGGTGTCATCCGTAAACACCTGGCATGACTGCATGGAGTGCCATTACCTTCCCACCGGAGCGGTATCTATTGGTCTACTCACATTTGCATGTTTTCAAACTAATAGGTTGGCAGAAGCTGGGGCTAACAGCAGGAGCTCATGCTGCTCCCTGGATTTGAACCTACAACCATCAAGGTTGCTAAGACCTTCTGGAGGGGCCCTGTTCTCGGTCCCACCACCCTCGCAATTGCGTCTGGTGGGGACGAGGGACAGGGCCTTCTCGGTGGTGGCCCCTCTGGAACTCTCTCCCATTGGAGATTAGAACTGCCCCTTCCCTCCTGACCTTTAGAAAGTTGGTAAAAACCTGGCTCTGGAACCTGACATTTGATGAGTGAGTCAATAACTCTTGATCGCACGGACGGATGGTGATGGATTGTGATTTTATTCGGACGACTTGGCCTTATGTAATTATATGATTGTATTTTAATGTGTTTTATATTAGAGTTTTATAGGATGTTTTGTCTATGAACTCCTCTGTTGTAAACCGGCCTGAGTCCCTCATCGGAGGTGAGAAGACCGGTATATAAAAGTTATAAATAAATAAATAAATAAATAAATAAATAAGAAGCTCGGCAGCTCAGCAGTTTAACCCACTGTGCCACCGGGGGCTCAACCCCCCCCCCACATAAAACAACATACGAACACAACCAAATACAGAAAGATAAAATTAATAACAATAAAATTGATTCAGTTTGTACTTAAAACAATTTAAAATATACAATAAAGCAGCTGTATACAATATCAGTTCCCATAAACTCCCATGTTGCGTGAGCTCCCCTGGTTGCCAGTTCGCTACAGAGCACAATTCAAAGTGCTGGCTTTGGCCTATAGCCCTAAATAGCCTGAATGCATGTCCCTCTATGAACCATAATGGAGACTAAGATCTTCTGGAGAGGCCCTGCTCTCGGTCCCGCCACCATCACAGGCACAATTGGTGGGAACAAGAGAGAGGGCCTTCTCAGTAATCGCCCCTCGGCTATGGTATTCCCTCCCTGGTGAGATTAGATCAGCTTCCTCGCTCCTGTCCTTCTGAAAGATGTCCCAAAGGCTGTGGAATCAAGTCTTTGGGGCAGTGCAATAACGCAACAGTAGGATCCGGTATGGCAGATCTGAGATGGTTTAAAACAATTGTTTAAAAAGTGAACACTCACTAAGTCCTTGAATATAGTGATTAAGGCCATAATCCCTAAACATGGTGTAAATATGTCACCAGTTTTGTAACGGTTTTGTAAAGGAGCCACCACTTTGTAAGGGCTTATTAAATTGATAGCGTAGCTAATAGCTAGTAATATTGATTTGGTCTTTCCTCAATGTGTAGCGTGACTTAACTTGGAAAGGATTTGTAACAGAGACTGGGCTTTAGAAGAAAATGCACTAAGTTTATTGAAATGTGGCAGAAGCTTGATGGTTTCAATGTTTCTTAACACTTAGAGGCACATATCTTCAGAGGTTACATTTATAAAATTCTTTAAAACAACTCGGGAAAGGACTCTTCCTTCCATTAAACAGGTTTCAAACTTATTTTTCTTCAAACTGTGTTTCTTTCCTTAAAAGATTACTTCAGATACAAGCTTATTCTTTCTTTGTGATATTTCTGTTGCAATAAAGATTCCCACTGGCTTTCCCTCACCCTTTCTACTCATACACTAACTACTAATATAAATAAGTCAACTCGACTTATCTAAACTACCTAGGCTAAAAGCCAAAACTTTCCTGATTGGAATGGGCATCCAACCTCCATTTATAAACTCCCAGAGAGGCTTCATTACTACAGA